TTGACGTTGTATAAGTTTGTGTGTGTGTGTGTGTGTGTGTGTGTGTGTGTGTGTGTGTGTGTGTGCGCGCGTGCGCGCGCACAATAATTTGAAAACAAATAATTAATCCTTGGCTCTCCATTATTCTCTTTCGATTCTTGGTTGTTTCTAGGTATTTTCTTGGCGGTGTGTGGGTGTGTGCATGTGTGTGTGTGTGTGTGCGTGCACAATATTTGGCAACACTACATGATTGAGATATTGTAATTTGCAGCGTCTGCGAAGAGACCACTTGATTTGAGGATGGTGTTTGTAGGGTTTTTCATGTAATGAAGTGGCTACAGGGGCGCCTCAATATTTATTTTTTATCTTGAGAAGTGAATGATGTAAAGGATTAAAGGGAGAGGCGTTTTCTGGTTAATATTCACTGCTTACAGCAGATCCTATGTCTAATTTCGAACTCTGGATAGGGGATGCCTAGTTGGCTGGACTTTATACAGGGAGTGTTGTCCACATAAAGACTCCTTATACATGTAGTTGATTTCAAAGTTTGGACTCCATACAGTTGATTTTGGACAAATGGACTCTATATAGGGGTGAAGCCAATTGGCTGGACTCTATACAGGGAGTGATGTCCATCTAAAATTTGAACTCTCAGTTGATTCCAAGTTTGGACTCTGTACAGTGGATTTTGGACTCTGTACAGTGGATTTTGGACCAATGGACTCTATATAGGGGTTGGACATCATATAGGGGCTGGACGCTCTACTGAGTCCAACATATATACGCACAATGCAAGTAATAAAATAGTGATTGTCGTTCTAGTTATACTGATGATTGCTTTTCTGTTTGGTCTCGTTCACGTAGTCAAAGGTATTTGCGTGTATTGGAGTCTATCTACATTTTTACCACCAAGGCGATTTCGTGTAGGCAGAAAAAGAATTAGTTTACGTTGAAATTGTTTGTGGATTTAGATCAGTAGTTCTCGTTTGTGGTTGCATGGTTACTTTCTAGTGGTGGATTTATCGCATCTGTTGTCACCTGATATCGTTGGTTGATGTAATGTTTCTTTCAGCTCTCATTTTCTCGCGATAGTCAGGGTCTAAATTATTACTTGCATTGTGCGTATATATATTGAGTTAAGAGCTATTGTTGATTTGCCAGTAATCCTCTGATGAGATGGCGACGAAAACGTTTAGGAACAAGCTTCTTTATTTGCATGAAAACAAGTTTTGCTAATGGTGTTTGTACTGAGTGCGCACTTTACTCTATTCATTGTGTTGATTACATTTTTATCTCCACAGAAGCTTTTTAATAATAATAATAATAATATTTCAAACAGTAGCTTGGAGACGGAGGGAAAACGGTTTCGTAATAAGTATTCGCATGCAACGACGCAAATCCAGACAATTCAGTAGACAATTCTTTTCTATCAAACGTTTTCTTTCCCTTCTCTTCAGGATAGTACAGGGAATGTTGGAAATTTGGAAAAACACATAACTATATAGAAAAATAGAGAACAAGTCAACACTTCAACAAAGGCGATAAAATGACTAAAGTGTTAACAAAAACTCGAAAACAATAGCAGCAAGTTGTAGACAAACACGTTGAACACATCAAGAAGCACTTGTCACACTTTCACGAGGTGTGACACCAAACAACTGCAACGATAACACATTCTCCTTCTGTACACATAGTTCTGGATCTAGTTTACGAATATACAGAGCTTCTAACACAGCAAGATGTAACTTTGACCTTCCACGAGAAAAGACATCATCACTATACAACTCAAGACAGTTAGCACTTCCCGACAAATGACGCTTGATGGACGATGTCCGATCATTTAGCTCTGTCACCTTCGACGTTTGCCGTTGTTCTCTTCCGTTGGGCTTGTTGACACCTCCAACGTTCTTTGAATTCATGGTCGCGTTCGTTTGACTCCTCGGTCTTCCTCGTTTCCTCCTGTTGATCGTTGTTGTCACTTCCAGTACCGACGTATTCAAATCTCCAGTACTTCGTCTCTTCACCTTGCTTCTGGTAACTCTTCCGGTGTCCGTGAGCTCCGGTGTCACAAAGGGCGGTTTTCGGGATGGTCTTCCTCGCTTCCTCACGCTAGTCTGAGATGGGTCAAGCTCCCTGCCCGTCGAGGCGGAGGCGCACATTATTTGAACAATTGTTCAAATTGCTGTTTGTCAGCGCATTCATGGGCCGAATTTGTGTGTCCAGAAAGATAGTGATATTACCCTAAAATTGTTCAAATAATGTTCTGTTGTGTAGTGTGGCAACGTTGTTGCCACTTGTGCCTAAATGTGTTTTGTCACCTTCTTGTTTATTATTGTTATTATTATCATTCGTTCTCACTTTTTTGTTTTTTGTTGCTGATACACACTTGTCACGCTTAGTTCTTACTTGTATACCCTTGTTTTCTGCACACTTTTGTGAGAAATCGCACCTCGATATTCCAGTGCTGTCATGGTATCGTGTCACCCTACCTTGATTGCTATATTATTTCCTTTGTTCTCATTTTGTTCTTTAGTACAACGGTGATTCCTGAAGAGTGTTGTACGAAAACTTGTTCGAACCAATAATAATAATAATGAGTTTGATTCCATCGTGAGTTTGATTCCATCGTGAGTTTTGATTCTATTTGCTATTTTTCGTTCCATTTTTGAGCTCATATTTTATTTTCCTGATTTCTTCTCCAGTGTATGTTGTATTGCATTTTAATACATTGTGTTAATTTTTGCCCGTAAAAGAGGCTTGCACTTCAAAAAAAGAGAAAAGATAATAATTATAATAATAATAATAATATTAGCACGTATTGCTTGTGTGCATCACAAGACCGACCGCCCGAATCCTAATCGCCGACTACATAAGATAAACTGCGAACAGTTTAATGTAGACCTTAGCAACAAGCTGAGCACGCTGCAGGCACAAGCAGATGTGGACACATTGGCAAACTGCCTATTCTCCGCTCTCCTCTCTACTCTGAATGAACATGCACCAGTAGAACACCGACAAAAAAAGGACACCCGTCCTTGTCCATGGCTAAATGCAGCACCAGTAGCCCGTTTGAGGGAACGGAGCTGGCTTCACCGCTTGTTGATGCGGGACAAACAAAATGAAGAGCTACGCAACCCACATAGAGCTGCAAGGGTTGCAGCAGGAAAGCTAGTTCATCAGCTCAGAAACGAGTTCTTCACTGCACAGTGCAACACCAGTGACCAGCGAAGACTTTGGTCAATCATGAATGCAGTTGCTGGTTGGAAGAAAGAGTCGTCTGAGCCACAGGCATCCATCACAGAACTAACTTCACTCTTTTATAGTATTGTCCATGACCCAGCTCGGACATTGAACCTTCAGCCACCCGCAGGGCCAGCATTGGAGACATCCCTATCCAATTTCCAGCCAGTTTCACTTGAAGATGCCTCTGTTCTTGCATTGAATCTCACCAGCATTATCAATTTGTCTCTTGGAACTTGACAGGTTCCGCCTACCTTCAAAGTGTCACATTTCAGTCCATTGTGTGGCAACCCAACCCTGCCCCAGAACTATCGTCCAGTGTCTCTCCACCCCATTATCTCCCGTAATCTGGAGACAATGGTTAAGAGACAGCTCACGGCCTATCTGGAGGCACATTCGACTGAGGATGCACTTGTGTTAGCTGTTAATCTATGGTCCACCGCTAGATGCAAACGAGAGTTCCCTGGGACAGTGTTCGTTGATATGTCGAAAGCCTTCGACTGCTCCCATTCTGACCCTGCTATGGTGTGCAGAACCCTCACGCAAGCCATGACAAACCTTGCTACCTGGCTGGAGGACATTGGCCTGCTCCTCAGCTATCCCAAGACACAGTTGCTCTTCATCCGGCCACGAGGCACGGCTGCAATACAACCGGAGGTCTTCTGCAATGGCGAGAAATTCTGTGTGACCCCTACAGCCCAGTACCTTGATTTAGTCCTGGATAATGATTTATACTGGGCTCCACATGTGGAGTATATCGGTCGCAAGACAGCGCGAACAATTGGTCCGCTCTGGAGGCATGGACGAGGACTGAGTTTGCTTGCCCGGCGAACATGGTTCCTGAGCATGATCCTTTCCCAGCTGTGTTATGGTTCAAACAGTTTCTTTCCAGGACCTAGCACACACCTGCTTGGTCCGTTTGAAAAGATGCTCAAGGCTGGCATCGGTGCCACCTTGCGACAGCAGCTCTTGCGGAGTCCAACCCTTCTTGATCAAGTCTCCAAACTCTCCAACAGAGGTCTACGGTCAACCCTCCAACAGCGTAATCTCGTGCCCACAGCCCCTCTACTATCCCTGCTGATGTCCTCAGCCTACTGCAACTGCTAAATTAAAGGTTTCTGGTCCTAGTTCATCGGTGCCTCCATCACAAAGCTAGCCCCCTGCTTTAGGAGATGTTCACAGGCACAGCTCCAGTTGGCGTCCCCAGCAACATCCGGGTAACTTGAGGGCAGCAGTCCAATCTGCTATGTGTGCATTTTCTCCGCAGTCCCTTCGGGCGGCGTTCAATCTGGTTCGTGGCAATTGTCCAGTGGAATGCTCTTCCCGTCAGCGTCAGAACTGAGGCTGGAAAGCGGACCTTCCAGGCTCTCACAAGCGCACTAGATCTAGAGGTGAATGCAGCGGAGCAGTAACTCAGTGAGCTCCTCTCACAGACTGATCGATCTCTCTCTCTCTCTCTCTCTCTCTCTCTCCCCCCCCCTCTCTCTCTCTCTCTCTCTCTCTCTCACTCACTCTCTCCCCCACTCCCCCCCTCTCTCTCTCTCACTCTCTCCCCCCTCTCCCCTCTCTCTCTTCCTCTTTCTCTCTCTCTCTGTCTATCTATCTATCTATCTATCTATCTATCTATCTATCTCTCTATCTCTCTATCTCTCTATATCTCTACCTCTCATTCTCTCTATCTCTCTCTCATTCTCTCTATCTCTCTCTCTCTCTCATTCTCTCTCTCTCTCTCTTTTCCAATACATGCCCACCATGACTTACAGGGTTTCTAATTTGGTTGTGGCTTTGAACAGCCCGTCAGGTAGGTCTACAAGTTGATTCCTCACGACATTTCTGGAAGAACAAAGTAGAAATTGGATAAGATGTACATTGTACGTCAAGTGTGTGGGTTACATTGAGATCTGCGTCTCACCCACCGGTGTAGATGAGAGAGAAAGAGAGAGAGAGAGAGATTGATAGAGAGAACGATAGAGAGATGAGAGGGAGAGAGAGAGAGAAACATAGGGAGATGAGCAAATTAAGAAGATGTATCTGGTTGATTTGATGTTGCACTACCGGGCTAATATGGGATTACAAGTACATTGATTTGTAACTAGTTGGATGAACATATTGCCTCACGCCGAGCCTTCCAGCTCTTACGACAGGCAACTATTGCCCAGAGCGAAAGGAGATCTCCCGGAGTCAGGAGTCTACCCTGCCCGGCTTTCTGCAGATCTTGATGCAGCACGTTGGGAAGAGTGACGCGTGGCCGGCCAAGCCATCTGGGGCTGTTGTTTGCGAAAATAATTCCATTTCCATTACTGCGGGGGTTGATGGTGGCAGCCGCAAGATGTGACCAAATAGACGCCACCTGGCACGGCGGATGAAGATGCTGATCTCCTCTATTTGGCACCTCTGGTACAGTGCTTCATTGGAGATGCGCTGTGGCCATTTGATGCCAAGGAGAGACGGCAACTGACGTCGGTGTAAGGCATCCAACTTCTGGAGAGCAAATTGCGTGAGGCCGCAAGTGCCACAGTGGTACGTGAGGACGGGTAGGACGAATGCCGAGTACAATCGCAGGCGCAGACGCTCACTCACAGCAGATCTCCGTTTCCAGAGGTTAAACATTGAAGTGAAGGCTGCTGAAGCAAGCTGCTTCCTCCGTGCTACGTCAGCCTCGTCGCCAAGACGAGATCCTAGTTTTCGGACCATTCTCCACCTCTCACCAATCCTTTCGTTGCTTCTGAGCACCTGAGTACGTTCCATTTTACTTGGGTTGACACTGAGTGACCAGCTGGCCCTCTCAATATCGACTGGAAATGTAATATCAGCAAACATCCAAATAATAGCTATGAAAAGTATGAATGCCGCAGACATCACCACGCAACATGACAATTTGTTTTTAAGGTTTTCATCTTGTAGCATTTTTAAGAAAGCATAATTATCTGAGAAAACCAGAAACGCTGGGCGGGCCATCTCTCTGATTTCACTCAAAATTTGCAAGTAGGTTTCCTTTGGGGTCCACAACAATCATGCAAAAGCGCTCGTAACACCTTGGCTAAAATGGGCCCAAAATACGACTGAATATTGGGTCCAAAATGAGCGCTGGTACAGCGTACGCAATGGAGCTAGAAACAAACCACCACCATGCCAACATTACCTCACCTGAGCAGTCTTCACATCACCACCACATAGAGCCATGGCTACATCCAGGAAAGCAATGGCCATCATCTCCAAATATCACTAAATTGCATCGCTAGAATAGCCAAATGTCAAGGGCCATAGCGGGAGCCATTTACGGCGTCTATTTTTCTGAACCATGCACTGCAGGATAGTGGACTAACTCCACTACCACCCAGGACATGTCTCGTAAGTGTTCCAGGTTTTCTGGAAATACACAAATTCAAATACTTTCACTTCACTACATTGCAACATTGCCAATTTCATACCCGACGACGGAAAGAGCCTTCTCAAGCTCAAACACCAGGCACTGCTCCAGACACCAGCACGCCAAACACTGCAGCGTGGTCACCTCTACCAAGTCTGACAAGAAATTCGAAATGACAGCCCTTGTCACTCCAAACAACAACCATTTCCTTCCCTGAACAACTTGAATTTCACTAGCAGCAACGCTCTGCAGAAGTGCAAACATATTGAACAAATCTCGATTTGTGCGATCCAAGCACGATATTTTTGCGTCCTGAAACTGGCCGTGTGCCGACCACCGCGTGACATAGCAGATCGACGGATTTGATCGATTTGATCGACAATCAAGATGAGAATCAAAATCTAGATGATCAGGTTGATCAGCAACATGATGCTATGCTGCTACTGTGATGTATGAAGGAATGCTGCTTGAGTGAAACCATGAAGAGGTACGATGCCCTGCACTTCATGATTTGGGATCTAGCTGCAACCTGTTTTCCAGGAATATCATTTGAAATTTCGACCACGTAGCATACTGACCAACCACCAAAATCTCAATCCCTTGACAATCCATGCAGAATCCCTGGATTTTTCGCAAAATCCCTGGATGGCACAAAAACAAGTGAAAAGGGCTTTTCCCACCAAAAAAAGATGCAGATCTGCGTACGGCACAGTTCAACCCTGCACTGCTGTTTGATCAGTCGGCGCGTCGGCGCCCACCTATAGCGCCTGTCAGTGCAGATCTTGTGGTCAGGTCTTGAAAGTGCTGTTTACAGTACGAAGTGCAAGTGCGCACCGTACATATTTTTGAAAAAAACCGGGACATTCAAACCAAATCTCAGGAAAATCCTGTATCAGACGAAACTGTGACTTGTCCGGGATTTTCCTTCAAATCCCCAGGACCCCGGGAGTAGTGTTCATTTCCCGGGATTTTCCCAGGAAAACCGGGAGGGTTGGCCAGTATGACAGGTATGACAGGTTCGAGCACTTGCTTTTCAGGTGCACCCCGGAGAGATCGACTTGTTGGGTACGGAAATGCATCCACGGCTATTTCGTGTATCTGGTAAGTTGGTCGTGTGTTTCGTGCATTTTTTTAGGATGCCAACAGTAATTTTGTGTTTCACGCATGGATGGCATCTGTTGCCGGAGCGACATAGCTCGACAAAGAGAATAAAGTTGATTCCTATCGACATAATGTCTCTTTTCCCACCTGATCTATATTCATGCAACCAGATAACGTGATGAGCTCACTGATTAGAGTGTCGACCTTTTTGAGACGAATGGTTGCTCGACAAGAAAATTACAACAAGCAGACGTACGCTCGCTCCTCACCGAACCTGGGGAAAACCCACACCTTGCTGCATGCTGCGAACTCCGGCAACTCGGGTAAATGTACGCAAATATCGTGTTGCTGATCAGCCTTCATCGTCCAGATTTTAATTCTGATCTTGATTGTCGATCAACTCAATCAAATCCGTCGATCTGCTATGTTGCTGGGTTAGTTGGTTTATTCTAATTCACACAATAAGCGGGAACTAGACCCAATGTTATAAAGGCGAATGGATAAGCCGCATTTAGAAAAAAGAAGACACTAATTAGAAAATTACGAAAGTATCTGACAAGCGAGTATCAGGGGTGACAGTGTGGTTGAGGAGAGCTAGGGGTGGGCTAATCTTACCAACAATATGGTAGGCAACTTATGTTAAACTTGTTCTGTCTTGCTATGGTCCCAACATCTTCTGGCAGCAGGTTCCAGAGTGCAGATCCTGCGACTTACGGCCGAGAAACGCTAGAGCAAGTGGAGGATGGCCCGGCTGAGTGCTTTCGATTTCACACTTGGATTGATTCATAAATCCATTCGCATGCATTGAAGTCGTTCGATTTCCATGTCGTGAGCCCTGGAATCGATTCGGAATCGATTCCACGGATCCACATGGGGTGATGTGAAAAAAGAAAAGAAAAGAAGCCACGTGTTAAAAAAGTCATGACGGTACTAAAATGGTCCGCCACATGCACATGCACACAACTCCATCAAACCTCTGCCAGCAACAAAATAGGGGAAAGGCAAAATAAAGGAGGGAGAAGAAAATGCTGGCAAAAATTGTTCATAGAATAGCTAGGCACAGTTGCTTCAGCAAAATTTGTTACTCTTGGCACTGCTGTGCAAACAAGGAACATCATAAACGGAGCAATATCGCACCGAGCAGGGAACAGCATTTCTTCTGTCTCGTCATCATCAAACACCGTCGAGATCGGGAATGCCTCGTCATTGTCCATTTTTCAGGCAACACTTAGCGTCAAAGTAAACATGGAATATTCTACATGCGAAAGTGACTACATCATGTACAAGTACATGTGAAAGAAAAGCGATGAGAAGAAAGTCAGTATCAAACAGCAGTTTTTTCGTGAAATCTTAGGGCATGTTCGTTTGGTAGGATCGGGATCCCGATCCACCGGATCCACTGGATTCGCACCCTTTCGATTGGTCGAATCCGGATCCGGATCCTTTGGATTTGGATCCGGTCAACCCACCTCGGGGAGCAGGGTTGACCGGATCCAACGGATTCTTTTTTGCCAATCAACCTTTTTTGGCACGACAACTGCACATTTGGCGGGACCCAACCTGCGGGATCGGGAATGCCTTTCCTCACGCCTTGCACAGCAAAAGTTTGGTTGTTTCATTCCTTTGTTATTTTTTGGTTTACCGTTTCAACCATTGCGTATCCTTTGCTGGCAAACAGCCCTGAGTGGCAGCGAAATTCAACATATGGAGATGCGGAACCAGTTGGATCCCTGGAGCCCTTTTCCCTCGGGCCACCAACAGTCGACGGGGAAGTTTCGTTTTCTTCCATTTGTGCTTCGTTCCAATTCAACTCACTCCAATTTTGGCTATTGCGGCTTCTACCACTGCGGCTCATTATGCGGCAACTAGCCCACGTTTGCAGCGGAATTCAACACATATGGACATGGAGATACGGAACCCGTGGGAGCCCTTTTCACTCGGGCCATCAACACGTGGAGGTTTCACATTATTCCGTTTATGCTTCGTTCCGATTCAACTCACTCCAATTTTGGCTGTTATTGCGGCTTCTACCACTGCGGCTCATTATGCGGCAACTAGCCCACGTTTGCAGCGGAATTCAACACATATGGACATGGAGGTACGGAACCCGTGGGAGCCCTTTTCACTCGGGCCATCAATACGTGGAGGTTTCACATTATTCCGTTTATGCTTCGTTCCGATTCAACTCACTCCAATTTTGGCTGTTGCTGCTTCTACAACTGCGGCTCATTGGGCGGCAAATAGCCCACATGTACAGCGAAATTCAACATATGGAGATACGGAACCTGTGAGAGCCCTTTTCACTTGGGCCATCAACACGTGGAGCTTTCACTTTCTTCCATTTGTGCTTCCTTCCAATTCA